TACAAGATAAAGAAAGTGCGAAAGAGATAACTAGCTAAAGTGAACCGGTTCATGCAGAAAACCGTTTCGTGGCAGTGTTGCAAAATGTGTTTATTCTGGCGGTTGTAAATTCAAATTCAAATTTGAAAATAAAACATTTTAAAAGGATAAAGTGTTTCCAAATAAAAAAAAGTATTTTAATGACATTTGTGCGCAAGCTGAATCGAGCTTATTAAAAGCTGCCTATAAAGACCTCAAACGATTTCTGTAAAGATACAATAATTGTTTATTACTGGAAAAAAGTTTCGATTTTTAAAGCTTACTTTTCTTGGTTGCCGACCATCCAATTTTGGAATTGGCCTCCTTATTATACTTGTTTAGCCAATCTAAAACAGGTTGATAGTAATCAAGCAGTGCCAAGCTACTGAGTCCAGTGTTATTGGGTAGTATTTTTCCAACCACCTCCTTCCAGGGCTTGGTAGAACCCAAAGACATCATAGATCTAAGGTAAATAATATATTTCAGTAATTAGATAAAAAAAACTCGAGCACTGACTTTAAATCGTTGCCAACGGCCAAGCTTCCATAGAAATCGCAGTTGTGAAGAGGTCCCCTGCTGAAACTCTTCTTGCAAAACTCCCGATAGAACTGATAGCCCAGAATCTCCGAGATGAATTTTCTAAAATTGAGTAATATAAGTTACAGCGCCTTTCTTAGTAATTTAGTTAATTTAACCTACTGAGTTTGAAAGCTCTGATCAATGTTTACGTAGAATTTGTAAGGAAAATCTATAGCACCTTCTGACCGATCCGAGGGCGGTTCGATTCCCGCATGCTGCTCCATCAGTCGCCAGTAATGCTTGTTCACGGTGTCCATGTCCACAGTATCGTCGAGGAGATCGTGCATCACCTTGGTGTGCACATAGTACAATGGAATGCTAAGAATCGTATGGATAGCCTGTAGTAAAAATATTAAAATATTTGAGACTTTAAATATTAATAAGTAAGCTCAATAAAAATACAAATTATTTTCGAAATCAACAATTAATTAAATAGCTGTTATTTACGTCTGTAAAATCAAGCAGATCGCTTCCAATAGACAGTCATTCTAGCTTTCACACACATTAGAAGTTAAAGCGACGAAGCTTTGTGTCACAATCTTAGAAGTATCAAATTCTTAATTACATATTCCTAGATGTGCTGTATATAGAAGTTTCGACGCTCAGCTCTCATCCTGTTCTCAGGCTGATAAGGTAGCGGTGACGCCCTACCGAAATTTGCAAATTTATTATACCCAACTATGTCCTTGAGTCCGCCAACAATTCTCGCATTTTCCAAACTTTTTTGTATTTTATTAGATAAATTAATTAATTAAAAAAATTGCATTAAAAAAGTTATGAATTTGACAACTTAACAAGAAAGGAAGCTAGCTTCGGCCAGCCGAAGCTTATATACCCTTGCTGGTCATTTCTATTAACTTACAAAAACATTTAATTTAGATTTCCTTGCGTATATCTTACAACAATCCAAGTTTTATTTTGACTTTCGAATTATTTTGACATTAATTTCTTTATTAAATTCTTCCTATGGCAGCTATAAAATATAGATGACCGAATTTTGTTAAATTTAATTCCAAATTTCAAAATGTTAAGGAAAAGCTATATCCCAGAGGAGAAGAGAATGTAATAAAAATCAACAAAGATATAATTTTTTCCCTATTAATTTCCACTTAATTTTCCGACCGTTCCTATAGCACCTATATAATATAGAGATCCGTTTTTTTTAATATTTATTTCAAAATTCAAAAATATTTAAAAAATAATATTCTTAAGATTAGAAGGTTATATTTAAAATAACACCGAACCTAGAATTTTTTATCCCGATAGCTTAAAAACTGAGAGACTAGTTTGCGTAGAAACAGACAGACAGACGGACGGACGGGGTCGGAAATGCTTCCTTTTAGCTGTTACATACTTTTACACGAATAGAATATACCCACCTAGAAGAGAAAATTAGGGGAAAAAACTGAAAAATGGGTTATACTTTCTTAAGGGCTAGTACTCAACCCAACAAAAAGTCGTCCAAAACAAAAAACTATGAAAACAATGTCAAGAAATTTTGGACGACTTTTTGTTGAGTTGAGTACTAGCCCTTAAGGTTTAAGAAACGTTCTGTAATGTTTGGCTATAGACTTAAAATGTTTCACATAAATTCTGAGTCTTTTGACTTAATACTATTGTTTTTAGGTCGTTTTTGGGACCAATTACTCACTCACCATGCGGAAAAGACGACTCATGAGGGCCGTTTGACCGAGCTCTCCTTTCGCCAACCGACGTCCAGTGAGATGTGCGGGTGCGGAGGCCGACAGGACCACAGCCTCGCCCACAGCGAACTCCAGGTTGTAGGCCTTGAAGTAATACGAGGGCAGGTGGCTCTTCTGCTGGGCGTAGTAGACCCTGGCCATGTGGCTGTGGTACTGCATCAGCTTCCGGAAACTGACCTTCTCGCAGTACATTAGGTAGACATGGGGCGTAAGGTCAAATATGGACGGTCGGCAGTCGTCATTTGGGCTGTCCTGGTTGGGTTCCTTCAGCTGGTTCTTGTGGAACTCCGCGGTCAGCGGCTCGAAGCCCAGCGAAGTGTAGAAGCTCTCGGATTCATTGACCATTGCCTTGGCGGTCAGGTGATTGACGAACTCGTCGAACTCCGGCAGCTGGGCACGGGGATAGTACTGCTCCAGGATGCTGCCACTGGCCCAGGCCTGTTCCAGGACCTGCTGGAACAGGTGGTCCGGAATGGGTCCATTCAAACTAACCAGCTCTCCGCCGTACTTCTTGTTCAGCTCCTGGCGGACGAAGGCGTGCAGCTGCTGGTAGGCTGGACGCAGCTCCACCATCGCCTGCTCCATTTGCTGGAGCATCTCCTGGCTGTCGTAGCGGTACCACAACTTGTGCACCGGCACCTCCAGGATCTTGGCAGCCCTCTGATAGGACTGCACAATGGTGTAGAAATTGAGGGAGGCCCATAGCTGGTTCTTTTCGCGCCACGCCTCCCAGTAGTACTTCAGTTCGTCGGCGTCCCTGCTGCTCTGCACGATCTTCTGGATGTCCGGGAAGTAGGCCAGCGGACTGTCGTCCTCGTTGGGCATTTTAGCACCTCCCAAATAGGGCTCGATGTCCTTGTCCGTGGAGAGCGTCTGCAGGGCGGCCAGGTTCATCTGCACCGAAGAGAAGTAATCATCGCCCAGGACAAACAAATCGCCCGCACTTCGCAGCTCCTGCAGGGCCAGCTTCGTCTCCGGACTGCGTATCCTGTCCAGATCAAAGCCGGCAGCCTGTCGGGAGATGCTGACCAGCTCCTCGGCGATTCGCTTCACATTGTTCAGCTTGGAGAACAGGGCATCGAAGTCCTCCTCGTTGTTGGCCGAATACGTTTCGGCGGCTATTTCGTTGTAGAACCTGTAGTAGCGGTCACTCGATTGATTCACAAACGTCTTGGCCTCGAGGTCAACGTTGGCGGCCGCACTTGCGCACTTAAGTTTGAATGAAATCATTAAATTAAAAATATCAAGTTAACTTTTAACTGCGTTGTTAGTTACTGAAGGAATGTGCTCATCCATTTCTTATCCTATATCCAGATATATATTATATATTATCTTATACCTAACCGTCAATTGTATATGCCAAAACTATTTTTGTTCGACGTACATATGCCGTATTGGACAAAACAGAATAAAGTCACTATAGAATCAAAAAAAAGAATATTAAATATTTAAAATTTCTCACTTCTTATCCCATTTACTTATTTTTTAATTTTCATCATTTTGTGCCTGGTTGTTCCCAGGGACCGTAATCATTATAAGTAAAAAAATAAAAATCTCCATTTAATGATTATTTTGTAAGCGAAAAAAATATCGCTCAGAAATAATGATTATTATGTGAGCGATATTATTTCGCTTAAAAATATCACTCAAAGTGCGATTACAGCCGTTCTGTACGGAATTTTACAAACTTTTAAATTTCTGCTTGTAGGTAGAACCACGGAGCACACATCGAGTTAATAAAAGAAGGTGATTTCTTTGTATAAACTTTTTAAAACGCGGTTTTTAGTTGACATGAGGTATGCTTAAATACAACAAGTTGTATCCACCTTAGAACTTTATGTCATTTATTTATTAGTAAAACGACTTAACAAGATGTTATGAACTATTCCACTTAGATCCAACCCGACATGTGGGCTGGGTGTTAGTGTGTTGGTCCACCGAGCTGTAAGCACGAGTTCGATTCCCACAGAAAGTGTTTTTATACAAAAAGATTTTTTTGTTTTTTTAAGCGGTTTATACAAAGAAAATTTATTTTTTTCTTAACGGAATATGTGCTCCGTGGTTCTACCTACAAGCAGAAATTTAAAAGTTTGTAAAATTCCGTACAGAACGGCTGTAATCGCACTTTGAGTGATATTTTTGAGCGAAATATATCGCTCACAAAATAATCATTATTTCTGAGCGATATTTTTTTTGCTTACAAAATAATCATTAAATGGAGATTTTTATTTTTTACTCAAAAAAAATAATCATTATTTTGAAATAGGAAGCCGAACGTTTCAAACCAATGTATCTTAATTTCAATTACACCCAAGTGGTATAGCAAGTAAAATAGAAGCTCGAGAGACTCGAATCTTAATAAAACATTAGCCAATTCTTAAAACGCAATACGACGAGTTAAAGTCTATTTTTAACCAATTCCTTAGTGTAAACTCATCAATGATTACTTAATCGCTACAATGCTTACGCCAATGCCCGCTATCAGCAGCAACAGCAGGCCCATCTCCTCTGGAATCTAAAATCGGAAACCTGAAGTCTGGAATCGGTTTCACTTTCGCACTCAACACCGGATCTGCTCGGACTGAGCTGCTCCAACCGTGGAGCTGGGCATTTAAAGCTTCCCCCGGGCGGCTGATAAGCGCAATCAGCGAGAGATTCTCGTCCGGAGGCCGACCCCCAATAATTGAGCACAAAAGTGGCTTTGTGGAATGCCATGATGTCTTGTTTATTAAGCGGCTCAATAAAGATGCAATAGATTGCTAAGGGTTGTGTATCTAGAGGTGGGCGTGGAGGCCGTCGAATCGGGTCAGGGCGATAGTCTATGATCAGGAGCGGTTCGTCTAGTTCTGGCGCTGGACGGTGCGATTGTCGTGGCGGATGGTCACGTCCACGATGCTCATGTTCGGCGTGAGGAAGTTCACCAGCCGGTCGACTCCGGTGCGGGGCAGCCTGTCGAAGGGATAGCCCATGGACTGGCGATCGGGGTAGAGGCGGTCGCGGACTCCGCAGTAGGAGGCGGCATCGCTGCAGCGGCCCACCAGTTGCTGGTCAATCTGAGGGAGGGAATAAAGAGGATCAGAAGAGGATCTCAACACCCGGTTTGGGCCATTAACCCACCCTATCGTTCTCATAGTTGGACACCATGATGAAGAGCACACAGGGCAGTCCCTCGGGCAGACCCTTCGGCACCAGCATGTGGTTTGGCCATCCACAGCCGCAGAAGTTGAACTCCAGCTCCTCCGGAGTTCCGGCGCCGGGACGATTGGCGTCCAGATTGCGGAAGGTGCGCTCGAACGGAATGGTCACACTCGACTCCGTGGAGCGACGACGGATGGTGTTGGGTCCCGGGTTCAGCGAAGCCACAAACTTGTCCAGCTCGATCATCATGCCGCGCTGGTCCCGCATCAACATGGGCTGGCCACGCTCGTCGTTCTTGGGCGCGATGAAGATGCGCACGTAGCCGAAGCGCTGGGCACCCCCGTCGTTGTTCACACTGATGGTGTAGGTGAAGGGAAGGTGCTGCAAGTGGGTGAAGCGGGCGAAGACATTGCCGCGGGGCAGGAAGTCAAAGCCACGGGACATGTCCACGTCCGACTGCTGCCAGAAGGTGCTCAGCGTGTTGGGCTGACCCCCATTGGTGTCCACCTGGATGCCGGTGATCGAGACGCCCGAATAGTTCAGCTGGGTGTCCGTGTAGGCTGGCAGCCGTGTCTTGTGCTCCTGGAAGATGCGGTCGATGTACGAGTGCCACTTGTAGAAGACGGGATCCCTCATGGCGGTGGACACATCGCCCATCACTCCAAAGGACTCCAAGTGCTTGCTGGTCGGATCGTGGGCGTACGAGATGAAGGTGTGCCCGTTGTTGTGCAGGTCACCATACTGGGTGGGGAAAAGCACATCAGTTTCTTAGGTCGTTACAAGACCAAGTTTTACTTACCAGCGTTCGGTTAGGCGACAGAATGGAGGACTCAATCATGTTGCCCAGGGTGTCAATGCCTGTGGCTTCATCCAAGGGCACTCGGTTGCCACGCTCCTGAAAAGGGTAACACCATTTAAACATACCCTCCCAAGAAACTGAAGCGAACTACTTACGTCCATCACGAAGCCCTGATGGATGGCCTCGTAGATGCGGTCGCGCCAGCGCTCCAGGTCGCCAATCTCCACGTTCAGCTGGTCGGCCTCCCGGTTGAGATCGCTCAGCTTGGTGCTCTCGAAGCGCGGCGGCCAGGCACGACTGGCCACCAGGGAGTCCATCTTGGGGAAGTAGCCCTCGGCAATCGGCTCCCTCAGATTGTTGAAGGGCAGCACGCGGGCCAGGTTGTTGCTGAAACGCTCCGCATTGTAGCGGGCGATCACCTGCTGGTGCATGTAGTAGAACAGCTCGCCACGACGGTCCTTGTTCACGATGCTGCGATCGGAGGCCTCGAAGGGGTAGACGAGGTGCCAGTGCCAGTGGTGCAGGTTGATGCCCAGATCCTCGCGGAAGTACCACAGGCGGTGCTCGGGATCGAGGTCCGAGGCGGTGTAGTCCCTGGGAATGGTGATGGGAATGCGGGAGCCCGGCTGCACCACGAACGACTCCTCGCGCATCTTGCGAATCACCTGCGAGTCGATGAAGCGGTCGGGGAAGGTCTGCGAGAAGGAGGGGAGGTCCAGACCCTGGGTGTCCGGACGATGGAGCAGGGCCACCGACAGGGCGTAGTTGAAGAGGACCGGGTTGACGCGATCCCTGGCATACACGGCCACGCTCTGCAGGTCGTCCACGGAGCGCATGTTCATGAAGATGTCGATCAGCCGGCCGGCGATCCTGCGGTGCTTGGGCAGGAACAGCGAGAACTGCTCGTCGCGGCCCAGGGACATGGGGATCCTCAGGTCGGGGATGGAGATCTCCCTGACCGGCACTCGCTGCTCAACCTTGTCGCCGACGCGGCTCTGCACCTCGTTGCTGATCGGACGGTAGCGGTCGGTGAGGAAGGAGTCGGGCACATCGAACACGGTCACCCTCTTGCCCTTGTCCATGAAGACGGGCTCGGTAGGATGATCGAACAGCAGGAGGAGGTTCTTCTTGTCGGTCATTTTTGGATGGATTGGTCTACTGCAGGATCTCGAGGGAAACTAACTGAGCAAGTGTCACTGAAAGCGTTGTAACTCCACAACTGTGACTATCCACCGAAAGAGCTATGCTTTTTATACCCAAACCCGGGAACTACGGAACATCCAGTATCAGCAGCAAAAACCGCAGAGCGCCTGAGAAAGTTTCTGGAAATGCGGTGATAGGGATTTCAAAACCGCAGTGTTTGTTTTAGCATATTTCTAAAATGCAGTTTTATTATTTCAAGAATACTTTTGTTTTTTTGGTTTAGCTTATCTATACATATGTACTATTGGAATGAAATCGGATTTGGTTATCTCTGGGGTATGCCTGCGTGGTAAATTAAAACTTCTCCACATATACGATCTGTTCGCTTACAATCCCATCTAAACAATTTATTATATGTATATATTTGTCGCTACATGCATAATACGGCAATAATAATAATTACAATTCGGCTATAATCGATCAACACCTCCCTAATTCCCTACTACTTCTTTGTTATACGTATTTATATAGTATAGCGCTAAAGAGAGAGAGACAACAAGATATTTGGCGAATGAGAACATGAGAAATATCGTACGACAAGCGGATCTATATAGCGTGTATATACAAGAAGTCTGTAGAAATAGAGTTCTGTTTCTGCTGTTTCCGTTTCCGATTCTGTTTTCGTTGTGTATAGGCGATAGTTTCAGTTGGTAAGATCTTAAGATCTCGTAAAAAGTATCTTAGAAAAGCCCTGGGCATGTCCCGTGTTCCTTGGCCATGATATGTAGTGTTTAAGCTCTTAGAATATAGAGTTAATGGGGTGGGTCTTCAGCTTGGTTCCGATCTCTCAGCCCCGAGGAGAAAGTAAGAAGTGAAAGCTTGTGTATAGAGTGTAAAGACTTTAATCACATCCAAAAATGCATACACATGTATTTACATAATATCGTGCAGTATAAATCAAGAGTTGTAGAAAAATATATCTTTGTCGAGTGTATATATAAATATTTGATCGTGTGTGGTGTATATACGCAATTCAAAATAGAATTCAGTGCCGTTAACAACTCAAAACTGTTGTTTAAATCGATGTGTTTCAATGGAAAGTATTTGATTTTAGTTTTTGTTTCTGTTTTTAAAGCGCTGTTATCTACTCCTTGTATACATATACATATATAAAACGTTGGAATATGATTCGGTAACGTCAGGGCATAGATATACATACATACATAGTTACAAATGGTTGTCGGTACATACATATAATACTTGTTCGATTTTGATTTGCTTCTCAACTTGGGGATTAGTCGGTTGTCGTTAAGGATTGCATGTGTATATTGGTGCCCAAATAGTTTCAGACTACGCTAAAGCTACGGATAACATCTAGTTCTAGTTTGGTTTAGTTTGCTTTCGTTCTTTTCGTTTCGTTTCGTTTTGTTACATTTCATTTTGTTTTTTTTTTAATTTAATGACTCCAGAGTACCTACATACATACATATATATCGAGGAACTTTCACTACTTTCAACAATATCGACATCAACAACGGGGATCCAACGAAATGTATGCAATAAATAACTATCCGGTGCAAATATGCATGGGTTGCTCGATCGGAGAGAATGCCTGGCCTTTGTACTGAGGTTCGCCCGTATCACACTTCCACTAGCCAATTCAACACTGTGCCTACTACTTACTTACGCAGATACTTTGAACGTCTGGGACTCAGGTACAAGTTTCTTTCGATGCGACATGGTGCAGCTGTGTTTAGAACCAAGGCAAAAAATCAAGAGTCATAACCCCAAACAAGGGAAACAAAATACGAATACGATCCCGACCAGCAGCCTAAATTGAGGGCCGACTCCGGCTTCCGCCCACTTAGTTCGCGGCGGTGGAGTTCTGGAATTCCTGCCGGCAGTAGCCCATCACAATATCCGACCGGCAGTCGCCGCCCATTAGCCCGGGCAGGAGGACCGCCGCCCCCAGGATGGTCACCAGGGCTCCGAAGACCACCAGGCCCAGGGCGGGCAGCTTCTCGCGGCTGAGCAGGGCGTGCGGCTCCATCTGGATGTAGGCCAGGCCGGGCAGGATGTAGGCCAAGGGTATGGCCGCCAGGAGACCCTGAAAATGGGTGGATGGGTGAATGAATGGGTGAACGGTTGAATGGGTGGGGCATAAATTTGCATGGCAAATACAAAGCCGGCTTCGGGACTGAATTTGTGGATGCCATTTGGGATCGGCCATGTGGCCAATACCCGTGACCAGAATACAAGAGGCAAACATCTTGCTGATTGTAGATTGTAATAAACTTGGCCATAAGGTTTCCCCATTGTGAATGGTGAAGTTCGAATTAGTCTCAGATGTATTTAATGAAGCACTGGAAATATGGTTTTCCCATTTCCCATTTAAACGATAGCACCGCACTGCAGAATATTAAACGAGCTGAGCTAGAACATAAATACAAACTAAAATAGTCATAAATAACCTCGAGATTTCCCAATTTCAAAGTTTTGTGGCCAATATCCAAATGATAAATGGCAAATGTATAAATATAAATATTATCAAAAAATGGTAAAAAAAAAACATAAAACCCAACCAGACCAGTTTTTGATTTGAGTTCTTTCGACTAAACTCTTCCTATCTGTGGTTTAACAAAAGTTTGCACTTGAATAACGGAAATGCTCAGATAATCATGAAAAGTACCGCAGAACAACACACCATAGGAGCAGAAAGAAATAATTAATGAGGTAGCTAGTCAAAAAAAGATAAAAACTTCTTGTTTTGGGAGTATGTCTCGCTAGTTCTCCATAATGTATATATATCAGTGGCGGATCCAGGATTTTTTTGTGGGGGGTGATATCAGAACAATTTTTTTGTTGCATACTTTTTGAATACCAAAATTTCTTTCATTTTTCACCCGAGTGGGGGGTTATATATCACCCATATCACCCCCGTGGATCCGCGCATGATATATATGAATTTTTAATGTTATTTTTGTACCCGTTACTCGTAGAGTATTTCTGAAAAAATAAATGTAACAGGTATATAATATATTCCCAATCAGGATTACCAGCCGAGTGGATCAATCAATGTCCTTCTGTCTATCTGAATCTTAAAGTGCCACGCCTTCTCTAACTCCCACAAACAGCAAAAAACAGCAAAAGTTTTAATGCTAAAAATAAAATTTTAACTAAAATGTATTTGATTCGTCAATACCTATCGATGGACTTAATAAAATATTGCCACGCCCACTCTAACGCAAAAACCTATCCAGCGCCTACATTTCTGCCTTGCATGGTCAGCGGGTCCGATAATTCTCGTTTTAATGTTGGTTGAGTAACGGGTATCTCATAGTCTAGGCACTCGACTATAGCGTTCTCTCTTGTTATCTCTGACTCTGGGTCATATTTCATAATCTTTTGGCAAAGTATTTAGTATTTGTACAATTCTGGTCAAGGGTACGACGCCCGTTTTTCAGACCGGAGGACGTGGATAGAAATCATGGATTAACGATATGCGAAAATCCTACTCACATTCAGCTCCAGCACAGAACCGAGGCAGTCGGTCATGGGCGAGATGACGAAGGCGCTGAACACGATGGCCATGGTAATGGCTTTCGAGTACTCATCGATTATGGCCCCCTTCTCCAGGCTGGGGTCCTTGTCCTGGGTGAACTCGCTGATGGGCTCCTTCAGCACGAACCGATGGACGAGGGCGCGCACAATCTGTGGGGAATACACCCAAAACACACGTTAGTTGCGAAACTTTCCCAACTATCCCGCATCCCGGGCCAACCTCGCGGGAAACGAAGCACTCGATGGGGAAGGTCAGCAGTATCGATATGGAGAAGAGCACACGCGAGAAGTTCATCAGGTCGTCGTCCCAGCAATAGTTCTCCAGCAGATCGCCTGAAAAACAAATAAATAAATTCAAAGATAACAAACACAAACAAAGCAAGTCCCAGCGGTAAATAGTAAATGCCAAAAACAGCAGACGGGAGACGTCCGCAAATTGCCTGTCAGTGCAATTAAATGCAATTTGTGTCAATCGCTCACCTTGGGATAAGGCGCGGAAGGTGGAGTAGCCAGCGATGCCAAACAGGGCCGCCACCGTCCAGGCGAATCCAATCGAAATGTGGGTGACCTTCTCCCAGCGCTCCATGGTCGCGTCGCGCATTGATTGATAAACGAGGAAGGTGTTGTGATGACACATGAAAGCTGCACAGACAGATGTCCAATAGATAGATAGATAGATTGGTATATAAAGGCGGACGCTCGAGTGGAAAAGTGGAAACTCACCGAAGACCATGATGCCCGTGGCCGGGATAAGATCCGAGTTGGCAAACCGCCAGGACTCCGCCGTGTCCGTCCTGAGGGGTGGGAAAAAAGGTTTTTCCGGGAAACATTACACAAAAGTTAACACCAAATTAACATTTCGTTGGCTCGCCCTCGGACGGCGGCCCCCGGAAATGTGAATTATTCGCATAAAAAATGAGTAAAAACAAAAGGTGCGGACCGTGAGATAAGACGAGTGAAAGCCAGGCAGCCGCAAATTGGAAATTTATTTAAATTTTATACCAAGCCGCAGCAGACGCAGCATTCAAGGTTTTCGCTCCCCGCCAGCTGAAAAAGGGGAGCTTCTGGCCCCCAGTGACCTTGAAACTGCAAGGGGAAAGTGTTGCGTCCTCCGCTCTTCCAGCGCATATGTATGTATGCATACAACTTAGTTGCCACTGCAACAGACTCAACTCGACTCGCCTAATGAAAAGCCATAAAAGGCAAACAAGTGGCACACTAAATTTTATGAGCTCTGTGCTCCCCAGCAGCTTCTGCACCGCCAGTGGGATGGGGAACGGGAGCCGGAACAGGAGCACCACCGCCCTGGGCAGTTGCCACAGATTTGAAAGCACTAAAGCGCCACTTAGCACTAAAGCCAGAACCACCCCCAACACCGCCCAAACCACCAGCACCACCCACAGACCGACCCACAGCCCTATTCCCAAGCTCAGGTCCAACTGGTTGCAACTTTGTTGGCGGTTAGGGAAAATCGAGCAAAGTACACAATATGTAATTAAAACACAAATAAATCTTTACGCCGTTTTTTTCCGTAATTTTTGTAAATTGCCTTGCCGGCTAGAAAGTTTTTCTCCAAGGTGGCGTTAAATTGCTTCGCCTACTTTTAATATTCAGGGTAGGTTGGCCCATAAAATCAGCTATATTTCATGTTATTGATTTTATAAACGAATTTATTCAAATAAATTGTGTTCAAGTCGCACAATTCATAATTTAATTGCAAATAAATCTACATTTTTGTGACATTTTAATACGGAAATTTATCAATTATGACAATCAGACTTTCCTTTCGTTATAATTAAATTCAAAATTCAATACTTTTGGAAAGTGAAACTAATTGAATAACATTTCAACGCATGTGTATACTGATCAGGTATAATAATTGTCAGTAATTGAAAGCGCAATGCTCTCGGTAAAAGTCGGCTAATTTTCCAAATCTCATTTGCTGTTTGTATTTCCTCGCCGGCTCAATTCTGGAAATGAAATATTTATGTAGGTCAGCCATCAGATAGTTGCATTTGTAATTTATTAGCTAAAATTAAACGTTAATTGACCCAATCGATAGACGGTGGCATTTCAGTGAAAACATTATTCAATTAATTTCACACGCCATTTAAAGATAACACTAGTTACAGCCAAAATGTTCCAAATTCTCTTAGTGTTCACTGGTAAAAACCGCATAGTGAAATCAAATATTTTTATAATTGTTTTCATTTTGTGGCAAGAGGGGTTGGAATACTTAGAAAAGTAACTACAAATAAAAAGCCATGGGAGTGAGATTGGTATCATAGGAAAGGCTGTTCAAGGAACGTTGTAAATGGTCAAACTACTTTTATAACTATTTTTCGGTTTTTTCCTCCGCTGTAGATTTTTTTAAATTTTATTTTGATTCCTTTTAAATTTTATTGGACTTTTTGGTGGTCAATCTTATTATCTAAAATAAAAACGAATTTTGTGTCCCTCTTATCCCTCTTCGATTATTGAAATCGATAAGAGCTAATATATATAGTTTAATAATGTCTATTTGCAATCCGATTTAATACTTTTGCAATTGATCCAGAATATAAACCCATTTATTTTAAACATTTTAAAAATGTTTAAGTGAAAAAAATTTGAAAAAAAAATAGCTGTGCCATTTCAAAGGTCGTTGATAGGGTTGTTAAAAAATCGATAGTGGACACCATCGATGTTTTTGGCTATCGATAGTGGTCACTATCGATACTATCGATAGTAAAGAAAATAAAAACAAATTCTTAAAATAAAGAAAAATTATGAAAAACAAATTATGGAAAATGTGTGGTTGACTCATAAGAATTAGGGGGAAAAGAACGGTCTAACTTTTACAGCGATTAAAGTGAAACAAAATTCGATGTTGAGCCTCAACAATTAAAATACCGTCGTGTTCTTAGTATATACTTTAAAAACCTTTTCTTTCCTTAAAATATGTAAAATAAAATACATGTTCATGTAAAATTCAATTATTTTTTTGGAGCGATAGTATCGATTGTGGGTTCAAACCATCGATGTTTCCTAAATATTAAAACCATCGATAGTATCGATAGTGCTATCGATTTTTTTAACAACCCAAGTCGGTGATATTTTGTGATCCAGAATCTGGCATTTAAACCTTCAAGGAATTTTTGTTCTAAACAAGTGTAATTTGATAAAAAAGTTAAAGGACGAACTAAATAGAAGGGATGTTGTTTTATGATAGAGCGAACATACTTACACTTTATAATCGCCTGACATGAGCTTGATGATGACCGCAAACAGGATGAAGACCACGCAGGCCAGGCTAATGAAGCTGGCGCGGGCCAACCGGGAGACGTTCTTATAAAGACAGAGGGGCATTACCACGCCCACGTTGACGAAGAAGACCACGCCCAGCCGCACGGCGCCCATGGAACCGCCCCAGGAGGGAAAGAAGCGAACCAGCACTTTCGACAGCGTATCGCCCACCACCACATTGTAGGATATCATGGCTGCAAGGAGGGTTCGGAAAATGTATAAGAAAATTTCTATCACAAAAATTGGTCGTAAAATTTATATTGCTTCATAAAAATATGTGGGTTGAAGGATATCTAGGAGTATTTCGACTTGTAAATTATAATCTCAACAAAATTTCTTAACAACTTTAATATAGTTTTTGTATTTTAAGAATATGTTTGTTTTATACAACTATAGCTTTGTTACCACTTAAAATGTAAACACAAATTTAAAGAAATGTATACAAAATCAATAAAACAGCAATGAGCAATGTAATGTGAAAAGAGGAGTTGACCGACTCACCCAGGAATGGATACATGAATTGCAGGAGGGAGAGCAAGTAGTAGCCGTACTTGCCATAGGCGGCCTCCATGATGCCTGGATAGCTGAACCGACCGCAAATGTGGCCGCATCTGACCTGCAAATGAAATGAGGCTTTAACGGCTGCACACGCCCTCGCAAATGAGTGCGCTCGTTAATTATGCGGAAAATGCTAAGCCCGGAATCGAACGGAAATGCGTTTAGCATGTGACTTTGGCTTTGGTCGGCCTGATCGCCACTTTAAACCGATTTGGGAAAGGCATCGAGTTAGGGCTTGCCACTCACCATCAGGATGAGTGAGTAGTCGGTGATGTAGGCCACCAGGATGAGCAGGGCCAACCCCAGGCCGAATCCGGCCCTGTGGAGGGCGTAGGGTATGCCGATGACGCCGCTGCCCACGATGGAGTTGATGTAGTTGAACGAGGCCTGTGGCAGCGAGGACAACGTGTCGCCCAGTCCGGCATCCTGCTGTGGTTGCTGCTGCGAAGGTTGCCGATGCTGCTGTTGCTGCTGTTGCTGCTGCTGATGTTGCTGCTGCTGTTGTTGTTGCGGCTGGCCCTGTTGCTGATGTGTCTGATGGTTGTTCTAGGACGGTGTAACGTACAACAAAGGTTAGCTATCGGTCTCCCTTGTGCTCTCCATTACTGCACGTTGATTGGGATAAGAGCGCAAAATTGCCTCGAGTGCCTCTTTACATCAAAAGCAAAACCAACAGGACCCACCATCTACCATCACCCATTCGCCACACACTACCCAACTCCCGCCAGCCAATGTTGCGTATACGCAATATTCAGGTAGAGGTAAAGACAAAGGCAGCTCGTATCCGTATCGTAAATTGCGGTTGAGCCAAAACCCTTCCCCCCTCCCCCGTGTGTGCACTGAGAAAACAAGGACTCAAGAAGGGAATTTCTCGGCTAAAGACTGTGTTAAAACATTGTACAATGGAATTGAAAGTCGGCATTTAAACAACGTTTGACGTTTAATATCATAATTCAGAACACAGAAATAACTCAGAATGCCTTGTGATAATGAAGTGTTAGGAAAATAATTATTTTATTTATTGATGATTAAAAAAAAAGTATTTAGAATTAAAATTTAATCTCATATAATAAATTGTACAATTTTGAAGAGGTTACTAGATTTATTTAAGCTAAAACATTTTAAATTTAAATAAATATTTAATGTTTCAAACCTGATAGACATTTCCCAAATGTAAAATTTCAGTATTGAGTTTTTCTATGTGTTTATATACGTGTGTTGGTACTACGAATTTCCCAGATCCCCGGCTCCAGCCGCCTGCCATAAAAGACAATTTTATATCAAGAGCTCTCACATAAACATAAATAAAATTCCTCAGCCACGTCATAAAGTCACGAAAAGCGGGCCAATGTTGTAGCCCACATTTACAGCATGGCAACTAAAAAATAAAACAGCAGAAATAATAAAAAACCGAAGGGATAAGGCCAAATTGGAGAAAAACTTTAGCCAGCTGGCAATTAAAGAAGTTCTCGCAACTGAACTTCGAGGGAAACGGCAAACAAACAAAGTAAAAGTTTACACTTCTGCAGCTTTACCCCCAACGCCCTTTATTAAGGGAGCGAGCGTAAAGTAAACATTTGCCAGAACTACTTTAAAATGGTTTCTGAAGGTGTTTGGGTAATGAACATTTCCAAAGGCAAATTACGCGCGAGTTGAGTTCAGTTGAGTTTTCAATTCAATTAAGTGGCGTCAAAGGTCGCGAGAGGTGTTTTCTTTTTGATTCGGGTTGGGGCAAGTCAAGTATCAAAGAAAATGGCTAATTATGAGGCACGAGCGCGGGAAACCCGGCCAAAGTCCAGCTAACGGTCTCAGTGCCAAGGCTGATTCAGTTGGGCAAGGTTACAGCAGCTGCGGCCCAACGAAATTACAGAGTGTCCGTTGACAGGGGCCCACAGTCCTTTGTCCTTAAAAAACGAAAAGAACAAAAACGGGAAAAACAAATTGCGCCGTCGAAGGCAAATGGGGCCAACGTAAATCTCGAGCCGGGGCGGAAAACCCTCGAAGGCTGGGCTAATTCCGCTCTCTCAACAGGATAATTTATAGCCAGCTGCCTTGATTAGTTTATCATATAGAACATTACCCCGCCATTAAATTGTTATGGCCACTTGTCCTTGGGCTGGTTAAAGTTTCATCACCGAAGCAAACGAAGCGCATGTGGAATCATAAATAATTGCTTGAATAAATGATATCAATGAATGAATAAATCTGTTTCTGGTGTTCAATCGAGCGAATTACTGGGGTCAAATTCGAATTCGGGTCTCGCATATATCGGCGGTCAAAATGCAAACATTAAATTTCGCTCGAATTCTCATAAATAATTTGCCAGCAATCCCCTGTCAGCAATTAAACCTCACAAATCCAATTAATTTAACGAAGAAAAAAGAAATATAAGGCACCCGTTCGAAACTCAATTGACTCAAAAGCGTGTGAAACGGGAAAAGCGGAAAAAAGGGGAAAACAAGAGATGAAAATTGTTCGGTGGCTTCTCAGGTGCAAATGCTCGCCCATACGGGCACGTGCACACATGCTACCCACCTGGCAGAAAAACCTGTCTAACAGAACGTTTCTAATAAAAGACAAACATTGTCGGAGGCAAATACAAACTCAAACACAAATAGCAACGCCACACACGAAAGCCAATCTGCAATCTGAGGGCCAGGCAGGTCCTGGAAATATTCTGGGATCCGGTTCTAATGGCAAACAAACCGTTTTATGCACTGCACGATTTTAATTAATAATACTCATGTCTTTGGACCGCGCCCATACTCTCATTTCCAACTCCTATTTCCTGAACCCATGTAAATAAAATAAGAAAGGCTCATGGGGGTTTGAACAAAGAAAAAAGCTAGGGAGCACACAAAAAAATTTGTTTGGTAAAATTGACCAACAAAGAAAGTTACTTAACTATTAAAATAGTTACGTGTATTTTGTTTTTGCTTTGGGTTTGTGTCTTTGCTAGTTGTGTGTATTTTGTTGTTGTGGAATGACTATTTACTTAGTAGAATTGACAATTTTGCTGGTTGGGGCCTGTTTGACAATTATTACAGTTGATTTTACCAAGTTTTTTTTTTTTGTGTGAGGTAAAGGAAATTTTAATTAATTGACAAACATGACAAACAAAAGAGAACTCCATAGTCGAGTAATTGGACTATCAGATACCCGTTACTCAGCTTAAGGAAGTGTGAGGGAGATGGAGATATGCATGAACAGCAAAGTGCTTATAATTTTTTAATGAATGGTCCGATTTGAATAGAGGGAGAAGGAAGCGTTTCCTACCCTAGAAAGTATATAAATATATATTCTTGATCAGCATCACTAGACGAGTCGATCTAGCCATGTCCGTCTGTCCGTCCGTCTGACCGTCCGTCTGTCCGTCTGTCCGTCCGTTTCTATACAAACTAGTCTCTCAGTTTTCAAGCTATCGGGATAAAACTTTCCCAAAAGTCTTCTTTCTATTGCAGGTAGTATATAAGTCGGAAGGAGCCGGATCGGACAACTATAGGACATAGCTCTTATACGAACAATCGGGAAAAAAAATATAAAACAAGAGAGAACGCTATAGTCGGGTGGCCCGACTATCAGATACCCGTTACTCAGCTAAAGGAAGTGCGAAGGAGGTGGAGATAAAAACTTTGATCCGCCGTAACTTTTAAACGAATGGTCCGATTTAAAAAATTTCTTCTACATTTCGATAGGTATTGATAAACACAATAAAACTGCATTTTTACTTTTCCAAAATATTGAAATTTTTAAAATCGTATATAGCGATTGTGGGCGTTAGAGGGGGCGTGGCACCCTTTTGAAACAAACTTGCGCTGCGTAGGAACTCCTAGAATCTGCATTCAAAATGGCAATCTTCTAGCTTTTATAGTTTCCGAGATCTCAGCGTTCATACAGACAGACAGACGGACAGACGGACAGACGGACAGACAGACGGACAGACGGACAGACGGACAGACGGACATGGCTAGATCGACTCGGCTAGTGATCCTGATCAAGAATATATATAGTTTATAGGGTCGGAAACGCTTCCTTCTACCTGTTACATACTTTTGCACGAATCTAATATACCCTTTTACTCCACGAGTAACGGGTATAAAAATTATATCTTGGGTGTTTTTGAACCTATAACATCCTACTTTTGGAAATGTCATTTTTTATCTAACTCTGAATTTCGAATAAAATTTTTTCAAAATCGGACGACTATATCATATAGCTGTCATAGGAACGTTCGGAAAATTAATGGGAATATAATAGGAAATAAATTATTGCTTCGTTGGTTTTTATTGTATTCTCTTCTACTCTAGGATATAACTCTTTTCAAATATTTTCGAATTTCGATTTTAATTTTATCAAAATCGAACTACTATATCATATAGCTGCCATTAAAACGAACGCAAAATTAATGAGAAATAATAGGAAAATTAACATTTTTGCGATTTGTAAATTAATAGGAATTATTTGCAAGGGTATATAAGCTTCGGCTGGCCGAAGCTAGCTTCCTTTCTTGTTCAGTGTAAATTTAATCTTATTGGATTTGTCAATAGCTATCGGCATGCCAAATAATTTTTCAGTTCAGACCATTCATTTAAAAGTTATGAGCAATTAATGGAATATCCGCTTGATGGTCCGTTTTCATATGCGGGGGTGTCACAGAAATTATTTCCAACCGAAATCCGTTAAAGTTCTTACGTGCATCAATGCAAAATCCAACCGTCTTCGGTTGGAAGTGATTTCTGTGACACCCCTGATGGATTGGTGCTTGCATATCTCCATCTCTCTCGCGCTGATTTAGAGGAGGAACGGCTATTTATTAAATAGCGAAAACAAATTTTTTAAGTCTTTTTTTTTAGTTTTTATACCCTTGCAGGGGTTTTATAATTTCAGTCAGATGTTTGCAACGCAGTAAAGGAAGCGTTTCGACAACATAAAGTATATACATACATATATTCTTGATTAGCACCGATAGCAGAGTCCATCTAGCCATGTCCGTCTTTCCGTTCCTATGCGAACTAGTCTCTCAGTTCTAAAGTTTTCGCGATTAAACATTTCAAAAGTCTTCTTTCTATTGCAGGTAGTACATATATGTAGACATATATGTCTGAACGAGTCGGATCGGACCACTATATCCTATGGCTCCCATAGGAATAATAATAATAGGAATAAAGATATCAGAAAAAACATTGTGACTTTCTAGGAAGTAGGCGTTATTTTAACTGCAAGGATATATTAACTGCGACTTGCCTTTCTTGTTAATTTTGGAAATGAATAAAAATTACAAATTTTCAAAATCTTTTGTTCAAGCACAAGATTTTTAAATGCTAAATTTTTACGAAATACTTAAAAAAATCAGTTGACAACTTCTTGAGTTATCGTGTCCACCGCGTTCCAATTCTTGGTTTCCAGAAAAATGAGATAAAAGTGCACCCAGAAAAATGATGGACAACATTTTAGGTCATGCATAGCCTAAAACATTTTAAATGGACTACAAGTTCCTTTTTAGGTCAAGTACTGCCTAAAAATTTAAATTTTTGGTATATTTGCCCTACTATTTAGGTCCCGTATAGCCTATAGGTATAGGTCAGCGTGGGCCTTAAAATTAATGCCTTTTACCTAAATAAATTTGCACGGAACTCTGATACCGTTTTGGCGACGCTATAATTCCCAACCAGTTATAGCGCGGCTTGCATAGTAACCCACTTCGATCGTTGAATAAGACAGCGATTTCACTGCTGAACTGTGAAGCCTCCTCGCTCCTTTTTGTGTGTTGGCATAATGACGACTTCTTGAAGACTATGCCCGACATTGACCTCGAGTTAGCTATAAACTTTTCTGTATTTACTTTATAATATTATAAATTTTTCAGTACATATTTTTAGGCCAAAGAATGCCTAAAATTTTGGATAGGGGTTTTCTCATATTTTTAGGCAGCCAATTACCTAAAATCTAGGCCAAATATTACCCCCATTTTAGGCCTTTAATGGCCTAACATTTTAGGTCATGGTATCCTAAATTTTAGGCCATTCAAGGACTTAGCTCCAGTTTTAGGCCAATTTTACCTAAATTCTAGGCCATTTTTTGACATTTTAGGTCATTTTTTTTTCTGGGTGTGCGTTGATTCAAACTAAACGCCCAGAAGAATGTAACTTTTAAAGGCTATGTTTCCTAAAGAATTGATCCGATCGAATTGAAGTTTTGGGAGAATAATCTAGACAACTTTAACTTATAAGAAAAATAAATTCTTTTTAATCAATTTTTGTTTAACCTAGTGTAACATTTTAATGATTTAGAATCTCAAAAGATTTCAGCTATTAGACACAATATTAGCTGCCGTTTTCATTCTATTGTTTCGCCTGAATCGTAAAAAAGATACCTATTAAAAAGGTATACCTATTTGGGCGGGTCGATTTGTATGGGGCCGAAAAAAGTGATGAATCGTATAGGGGGAACGTAATCTTTAAAGGATTCTAAGCCATATTGGCGAACATACTTATGGTCTAAAATGACGTTTGACCCCCCCCCCAAATGCGAATGAAAAATACAGCTTTTTTTTTAGGAAAAATTGATTTAAATTGTAAATTGATATTTAGTAATATATCTGTGCTGACTATTTTTCAGAGCTTGCAAGGTTCGGTCAACCTTTTCAAAGTGTTAGGAAAAAACCTGTCACAAAAAACCCTATGACAACTGGGTGTGAGCTAACCCCTTAAAAGGGTTTTTGCTTAACAGATGTTACGCTCAGAGCAAAACCCTTTTTTCAGAGTTATTTCGGTTTCGGTTTCTACTGACTACTTTGCTCGGTCTGTTAAGGAAAACGGTCTTTTGTGAATGTATGAGTTTGTATGTGTGACCTGTTCAGTAATGCTTCAGTCGTAACATTGCTTTTTGATTATTAAAATTCAAAAGGGTAAGGAAAAATACGTAATGTGTACTTTCCAAAGCTGGATCTGTAAGATTAGCCCATTTACCATTAAATTCCAATATTCTACATATTTTAAATAATTTACGATCCCAAAACTCCACTTTTGGCATATCTATCTTATGTAGTAATTAATAACCAAATCCACGTAATAAGAAGCGAATCTTTTAAGCTGCAAGAAAAATTAGAGCTTTTTAACAGGTTAAACCTCCTTTAGCAGTTTCAAATTTTGTTTATGTAGCTTTAAATCAATTCCTAACTATTTAAGAATATCTTCACAACATTATTCAGTTTTATTCAAAATATTTCGACAGATTTGAAGGAACGCGCGATCCATTTTGTAGGAATAGGCTTAGTTGGAATACTTTGAGCCAGTTTTTATCTTAAGACTTATGGTAGTTCTCATTTATTCTTATGGTATAGCTCATTTGAAAGGTAATTCGTTTCTTTATGGCATTTCTTATTAAAGATAGTTCCTTATATAGTCAATTAATATATTGAAGCAAACAAAAAAATAGCAGCTAACCTATATTCAGAATACAATTTTATATAAATTTATATGTACAATGCAATTTTAGAATTATCTTGATTTCCTATGTAAAATTTATTCACATATCACAGCAGGCCTATACTTTTTCCTTTCTAGAGAAAACCCATTTTTTGGACTTTTATTTAACAGTAGTCTTTCAGAAACCCTTTTAGATGACTGTTAACTTAAAAGGGTCTCACCGAGTGGTTATTGAAAGACCGATTGCTTTGTTCGGTTGAGCCGAACGGTCGGACCGAAACCGACAAGCAAAACTAAAAAAGGGTTCCGCTCAGAGAGAGAGTTTGTGAGCAACATTTTTTTCGGTTTTGTCGAGATTAAACTGCCTCAGGAAAATCGGTTGACAGTTATTTGCAAGCTCTGCTATTTTTCTCAAAAAAGCAGTATTTTTCTTTCGCGTTTGGGGGGGGTCAAAAGTAATTTTAGACCATAAGTATGTTCGCCAATATGGCTTAGAATCCTTTAAAGATTACGTTCCCCCTTTACGATTTTTGGGGTCCCAAATCGACCCACCCTAATACCTATACTTCTGCGACTAATACATATGTATGTACTTCTGACGGCTCAACATACCCCAGGCATAATATGTATTACAAAGGGACCAAACAAGTTGTTTGGCCAAAACTCTGGACACATATTTGGCTGGCCTAATGAAATTAGAGAGCGACGACAGCACAATGGGGGCAACCATTTGCACTTTAATGAAAGCGTTTTGGTCAACACCAAACCCACATGCACATCCCAAATTGAGAGGGCTGGTGCATATTTGGGTGCTCCTCTGGGGCAGGCCAAACAATTAACACGGGAGCTGAAATTATGCGCAAGACAAAATGGCAAAATGGCACAATGTTAGTAAAAGCCGCCGGTTGCCGCAGAAATTGCAACGCTTTTGCATTGCAATCCGTGTCCCGCTGAACTATTGACACAGCCGTGTCGGCATTGTTGTCATTTCAGTTTCAGCCGTTGCCTGGGTTGCGCCCCTGCCGATAGACAAACAGGGCCTACTGTGTCGGAACCCCCTATCCCCCGATCTCGGTATATAGTAAAAAAGCAAACACAAACATGCAAGGCAGCCAAATGGTCCTCGGGTCTGGTTTTTACCCGCGGCGGGGATGTGTTCTGAATGGGGTGTTGTTCTAGGGAAATGGAAAGGGTTTGACCTTTTACCAGCTGCACAGCAAAATAATACGAAAATGGTGACATATTCAGGTTTTGTTCGAATTTCAATGAACCGGAAAGTTTCGTTTTAATTTAATATTGTCCGGCTTAATTCACCATAAACGGGTTTCAAAGAAAGTTTAAAAACCCTTTTTAAAGTCACCTTCACTTTTCATTAAATTATTACTAACTATAAAGACTTTTAAAATTACAAGATTTCATTTATAATCTTTTATATAAAAAGTATACGTTTTGTTAAGGATTTAGATGTAAGATAAGATGAAGTCAAGTCATCATGAAATATTTGGCAATGTTTTTGAAATGTACATTAAATCATTTTCAAAGTGTATTTGTGTGCTCACATAGTGCTCTGCAGTTTTCGTGTTTAATTTAATTTTTGCAGTTCCCTTTCATTGCAATTAATGAGTAGTCTCCGCCGCCCAAGAGTGGTTCCACTTTCCGCTGGAACTAACCTAATTGAGAAACAGCCGGCAGAGTGTCTCAACTATTGGCAATTTGCCTTTGAGCCGGCGCGACCATTAGTTGTGCAAACAATCAGGGCTCTTTGGCTTCCTTCATTCGCACCCTCTCCCACTCGTTAATGCTGGAATTTTTTGGCCAGCCTTGGCTGCCTAATGGCTTTGCCAACAACAAAAGTTTCGGTGCGAGGCCTAAGAAATCAACAAAGGCCGAACACACTCACTCACTGGCATTCCTTACTTATGCATGGTAATGCATCAAATATTACACAATGTTCCCTTCAGGTTCTGGCCCAACGCTCGCCGCCTCCTTCATTTCCTTCCCCTGCCCCGGAAAAAAGCCAACTAAGTTCGAGAATATGTATGGGAAATCCTTCCCTGCCATTTCCGACACACATTCTCTGGCATTAGTTGTCGGGATTAGATTCGGCTTAAAGCCCAGTCAGCTTGCAATGGTCTTAGTACACTTTTCTGTTAGCATTTAATAAGCGTTGAGCTAGATGGATGAGATTTTGCTTCATCAGCCAAGGTAGGCTCTTAAACTCGACTTGAAGCTTAAAGTCATCACCATATCCCTAAGAACAATAAAACGATTTTGTGATATAAACATTTATAAAAAATAGGTTTTAAATATTATAATTTCTTATTTTTTTCACACCCTTTTTGCTGCTCTTTAATTCCAACAAACCAATACTTCGTTCCCAAGCGCCGCACAGTAAATTCTCATTAAATTTTATATTTCCCACCAAGTCTGGGCAAAAGTATGCAATAAAAGAACACATTTTCAATTGTAATTTGTCTTCATTATCAACTCGTACATGACTTTGCCCAATGCAATATTTAATAAGGCGCTCGCGAAGTAGGCAAGCAAGTATTTCCTAATAAAGAAATTCTTTTGATGTCCAGAGACCAAAAGCAATTTGTACCGCCCGAAAGACCCCGGAGAAGGTCGCGGCCAGAATGTCAGATATGTATGTCCCAGTCTCCCCGTCCCTGTCTATCCTTGTCGCCGTCTCTCTCTCATTCTCCCAGACCGAGTGTAGGCGTTACTCGGAATTTAATAAATGTGAAGGGGACTTGAGTGTGAATACGACTACGGTTTGCTATGCAAGTGCAATGCCGGAAAGGGAAGGGGAATGTGGGTCAAAGTTTACCTTCATTATATTGTTGAAGTCATCGAATGCATAAGCCTCGGCAACCGACACATCGCTGCCCTGATGAATCGCATGAAAATCAAATTGTTAGCCATTAAATCGAGTTCACTTCAACAACAATCGAGTGCGCGCTGAATGATTCGCTTAAAGCATAAACGTAAAATACATATCAAATCAAACACACATGCATATAAAGAAATACGAATCATACCGCAAAAAATTCCAATTTATTCGCATGCCGAATATATATATTCTATCTGTACATGGTACATATATGTGCATATAAGAGTGCGCACATATCTTTATGGAACACGTGTTTTTATATATCGCTGAGGGAAATGCGAGCGCGGGTTCAGTGGTTGGCTGGGTTTTCCTCTTTTTTTTATCGTTTTGGCCGTCAATTTCCGAGATATTGTTCTACTGCCACCGCGGGGAGTCAGCGGGGGGCGCCATAGTCCGTAAGGCGCCGAAATCGAAACCATTTAAGACACCCGTCGCACATCCACACACCCACTCGAGGCCCAGGAGATGGACTTAGTCGCGTCTCGAGAGGGATTTGGCGATTCACCTTGATTGCCTGCGAGCCGGAATGGCTAAGAAGCACTGGGGTATGCAACAGTTATTGCATAACCTTAGCGGTGGCGTATGCGTGATGCCCGTTACCCATACGTCACGTTCGCTCAAGCACTCAGTACACTTCCTGTCATTGCCAGGCCTCTGTTGACTCACTTGAGGTCCGATTATCAATGGCCATTGCCTTTGAAATTTATTTAAATTGATTTCCCATTGAAAAATATTTGATTTAATTGGGTCAACTGAAAGTGGGATTGAGTTAAGCGTTTGAGAGGGGCTGGCGGGCCAATTTGAAATTCCAATGCGAACTTAATTGTCGACACGGAGTGTCGGAGAACTGGAATCTCCAGGGCCAAGTGCACTGGCTGCAGCTGACATTGATTTCTGTTATCTCACAAGGGGGCGCCGCTGCCGCTGCTGCTGCTGCTGCCGCTGACATTCTTATTTGATGCCTCAGCTGGCACAGCTGCAACACGGGGAAGAGCGGGGAGGAGCACAAGGATTGGGGGAGGAGCTCGAGGAGCAGCAGGTCCAAGGCCAGACAGCAGATGCGCGGCGATGCCACCACATGCCATGCATACTAAGCGACGATTAAGTGGATGCGGATATGGCTGAGGCTGTGGCTGTGGAATAGATGTATAACTGGAGCGGGACTCATAAATCCTCCGCCCATCCTCGTCCTTTTGGGCGGGGTGTTGTGTAATTAAAGGTCGTGCTCGCCGCTTATTGATTTCGTTATCTCAAGCGTTTTGGCGGACGGCCCCATGGGAGAGCTTAATTAAATCTTGAAGGATTTCGGTCGTATTTTCACGCCCGTCAAAGGTCATCGGTGAGACAATAAATAGCAGAATCCTTGGGGCCCCAACTGATTCAATTGCTCCTCATCAATCATAGCATGCTGCGAATTGTGTTTTGGATAATCACTCAATCAGGACACGATTCGATGGATCTAATGTGTCATTGTCTCGGTCTCCGCGGGGTCGGGAAACTACGCTCTTGTAAGCGCGGTGGTGCTGAAAACAAATTGATTTAACAGTCTTTTTCACAGTAAGAGTTACGAGTTGCTAGCCACGATTTCGAGTGTGTGTGCCTGCGTATGTGCAGACAGACACGCAAGCCAATTCCAGAAGTTGAGCGAAATGGAATTCATAACGAGCTTAAGGGATTATCGGGCATAACCCGTCGGCAGCTCCCAAAATCCCCAGTCAAATCCCCTCGGCCAGATTCATATGCAAATGTTGGCGTGGGCATTTATTAAGCCATGATTGATCGACGGGGCATTTTGTTTATTAACAATTCATTGGGCAAGCAGGGAATCCGCTCATGAAAATGTGTCGTAAAATCTATTGTGGCTTTCAGCTTAGAAAATTTAATTTTGTCCTACCCGACGCGTTGAAGATGACCGAAATTGATTACGTTCCACGGGATGTATGACAGGCACATCTTACACTTGGGAGGATAATTTTCTAATGCAAGCACAAAACATTAATGTTTTTGTAAATATTTGTAGAAAGTCAAAAGTGGGAAAATTGTAGCGCCCGAAAAGTTGACAAAGCGCGTAATTGATTGCTATTCAAAGGTTTTGTAAAATTAAAATTTTTATGAAGGCACTTTTAAACTCAGCCAAAGAAAAATATGGTTTTTTATGAAACCAACTAAAGAAATTTCATATATACTTATTTTATAAAGTAAAATTGCCGTGATGAATAAAATATTCTTTGTACAGGAAACGTTTTGAATGTTGATAGAAATCGATACAAAATCATGATAGTTTTTAAAATTTTTGATGTGAAAACTGGAGGCAAATTTGATACTTTAGAATGGAAGCACAAAGCTGTGGGTCAACAGTACTGAGAAACCCGACTTTTGCCATATCCCCGGCCATTATGCACTCTGCGGGCAGTTGGCCAATCTGCCAGTTCTTGTGGCGTTGCAATTAGTCGGAGTTCCTGCGGCTGAGAAGTGTGCAATTAGGGTGCTGCAAGGGAAGTGCTCGAGTTGTGGGTGCTTTCAGTGATTTCAGGGTGAGGACTCGAAAAACAGGCGCTTCTCAAACTAAGTGCATATAATTACGGACCGACTCACCTGGCGCTGCAGTATGTAGCTGAATTCAGTGGCCGTGTTGCGTCGACTGTCGTTCATTTTACTTGGTCTGGGAATCTTTTCTCTATTTTTGGTCTAACTTTGCTAATAGCAAAAGTTGTAACAGCCTTTGGCTTCAATTTTAGTTTAGTTTACTTAGTTGAGTTTAGCTTTGGTTTTGTTTTTAGTGTTAGTTCTGGCTTGGGTTTTGGTTAAGTTTAGGTGGGTAGTTGGCCTTTATGAAGTAGCTGGATATACACGAGCAGCCGCCTGCAAGCAAATAAACAAATTTACAACTGAAATAAGATAAACCAAACGGGGGAAACACAATTTTGCCGCTGGCACAACTCAGTTTTAGCTTTCTTGTTAATTATGAAGAGTTATACAAGAACTGGAGCACATATCTTAGCACTGTCACCGAACAATAAATGAACCGAAAATTTAAAGTCTATCTAGTCATCTGGTTTTTGTGTGTTTTAAAGTATTTCTGTTTTATATTTTCATGTATTTTTCTTGGGGATGTGTGTTTGTTTCGCAATGGAGTTTTGCACTGTCTAACCGATTTATCGGGTGTTCGATGCGATTTGGTTGCTTCGACGCTTTCGATGAGAATGCTGCAATAAAAATATATTGCGAAACTCTCAACAAGGATACCGTTAGCGTTGTCCTTTCGCCGACGTCGCGTCGCTGCCCGAACTTCTGCTCCCGCTCTGCTCTCTCTCTCCACGAGCGTCGCAGCCGTTTTCTCTTTCCCTTATTATGCTCTCGCTGTTGTTGCTGTCTGACTTTGAAATCGCCATACATTCACAAGTACACCCACACACATGTTCAAGTTGCGCTCTCACAATAACAAAAAACAGAAGCCGGAAACGAAAGCGAAAGTTGCCATACTGTAGGGTCAGCTGTTCGGCCTGAAAGCTCCCTCCCAAGCCAAGCTTTCCCTCCTACACGAAAGCAGTCTGGCAGCGCCGCCTGTTCATTCATCGGGAATACGAGATGATACGAGAGAGGTCCTAGAGAGCGAGCACGTGGTCGCAAGCTCCCTTCGAACAGTGGGCCAAACATTTTGAGGTCCATTCCTTGCAATTTAAACTCCGACCTGGGGGATGAAAATAACAGGTAGTACTTTGAACGTTTTCTTCTCATAAGCTCGGTTTGTGTACCAATCTAGTACCATAACAAATTTCCTCAGTTTTCGTTTTATAACCGAATAAGAAATATTTTTCAAAAAATATATTTTTAACGAATATAAGCCCGCAAGAAAAAATGCAATTCAGCACCCTCTCCTTAATAGTCTGTTGCTCTGTGGCCCTCAGTTGGGCCTCCGAATGGGGATATCCGTACTTATTCGACCATCAGGGTAAGCCCTTTCCAAAATGGGGCGGTCTTTGCGCAAGAGGCAAGAGACAAAGCCCCATAGATCTGCATGCCAATGGGGCTACATTGGACGAATATGCTCCTCTCAAGTTCAAGAACTACGATGAGCTTCAAGAAAAACTGCTAATGGTCAACAATGGACATTCAGTTCAGATATCTGGCTTCAACCAAAAACTCACCTTGAGTGGTGGCGCCCTGCTAAATGATTACGAGGTTGCCCTGATCCACATGCATTGGTCGTCTGAACATACAATCAACAGCAACCGGTATCCGTTGGAAGTGCACATCGTGCACCGGAACACCATTTACCCCAACATGACAATGGCGGAAAACTCCGAAGATGGCCTCGTGGTTATTGGAGTGCTCTTTCATACGTCCAATAAGCCCAACGAGGCACTTGGCAGTATCATCAACAGTCTAAGAACCGTGAAGAGCTGGGATCTTGTAGACAAGCCTGTTTTTATGGCAGACTCCTTGACTGTGGGTGATTGGATTCCCAGTGTGAAGAGATACTTCACCTATGCCGGCTCACTGACAACGCCCAATTGCAACGAGATCGTCACATGGATTGTATTCACCGAGACATTGCCGGTCACCCTTGACCAGGTCAATGAGTTTAAGAAAATTGAGTTCGCAAAGGGCAAGCAGTTGCAGAACAACTCCCGGGAGCTGCAGAGCGATAACCACCGCGCTGTTTTCCTGGTCGAGCAACGGGAAGAGCGATCGATAACAGCAGAACTCACGGCATCCGTATCCCTGATTATGCTCATCACGGTGTGCCAAAAGTTTCTGCTGTAGATTTTATGTGGATGCCCCAAAGAGGAAAGAATAGAATTTGTTTACTAATTATTTGGCGGTGTAAGGAAATGATTTCACATATCATCCGCCGTCTATTAATTATATTAACAAATGTATTTATTTAGCTAGTCAGTATGTACAAAATTCATTGAGTGCTAAATAAATAATACAAATATACGAAACTATAAAAATAAAGATATAAAAAGGCATTTCCGACCCCATTGCTTAAATAGTCAAGTCGATCTAGCCAAAACGGTCTGTCCGTTTGTCGGAGACTATAAAAGGATTTGAATAGTATTGTGTAGTAATAGATTCGAAAAGAAATAAACGACAAACATTTATTATAACCGAAAAGTTGAGATTTAAATTTATTTTGCAAACAGAGCAAGAAAATTACTATCCACTCCCTATCGCCACGGCACCACCCTGTAGTCGTGGAGAGCCTCGTCGTAGGTGTAACTGATGTCCAGCTCGGAATGCAGCACCACCTCGGCGTCCAGCAGACGTCGAACTATCATCGCGGAACGCGAGTCAAAGTGATTGCCATACAAAGTCAGGCGATCCAGCTTGCAGCGCTTCTTCATGGCCAGAAGGATGAGGTTGACTGCCTCCGGTTTCATGTCGTTGTTGTTCAAGAGCAGGGTTCGCAGTTGGCGGCACGAGGTGAGGTACTTGGCCACCCACTCGCCACCGTGGGTGCCAATCGAGCAATGGCTAATGTCCAGCAGTTCCAGCATCCCGCCGATGGACATTCCGCGCAGCAGGAAAAAGGCTCCATCCGGGCCGATTTTATTGCAGGCGATGCGCAGGCGGCGGAATCTCGATGTAGTCAGGGCGAGGTGTTCGGCAATTGGAATCATATCCTGGGCGGTCAGCTCGCAGTGTTCCAACGACAGACTCCATAGTGTGTTCTGCATCAGCAGCGAACCCAGCACGGAGGCAATCTTCTCCGTGTCGAGGCTGAGACTCAGTCCGAGAAGCCTTCCGGCATTCAGGCGTCGCACTCCCGGCGACTTGTGCACTCCGTCCGCGATCAGTGCGAAGTTGTACTGAGTCAGGCTGCAGTGGGACACGTTGAGCCTGCGCAGTGTCCTGCTCACCAGCAGGAACTCTCGCAGGATTCGAACATCGTCGTCGGTGAGGGGCGTACCTGCGGATCAGGGGGAGAACATTCAATGCAAGACATATGATCAATTACCCATGATTTCATTTCTGTCTGGTTAAACGCTGAGATCTCGGAGACTACAAAAGCTAGAAAGTTGGTATTACCCACGCATATTCTTGGGCTTCCAACGCAGCGCCACGACCCCTCTAACTGTGTCTGGCGCCCACATTTTTAACGATTTCGGAGAAGTATAAATACAAATTTTATTGCTTTTATTTATACCTATCAAAATGCAGAAGATTTGGGGCCCCTGGAGGCTCCAACGTCAATATTTTGAGCAAAAAAATTAGATGTATTAAATGCTTACCTTTTAAAGTGGTAAGAGTTTCGAAATTTGGATTTTACCGAATTTTAAGGTTTGAAAAGGGATCATAAGTTATTCTATGGCCCAAATGCTTAAGTTTTATTTTTCTAGTTTTTAACATTGCTTTAAGTTTTTAACGAATTTATTTCGATTTTGTAGGATTGCTTGTCGGTTGGCTTGAAAATGTTTCGGCCCAAAAGTAGGCAACGGAATTTGGCCAGAACGATTTTGGACGGGGATAAGTCTCTTGAGCCAAAATTCCGAAAATTTCACCAAAGTGGTGAGCGAGGTCGTACTCAGGGTCCCGACCCGAAGGCAATTTCGTTTAGATTCACACCAAAATTACCAGTGGATCGAAACACAAGTTAGTTGCAAGTGCAGTGAAGATCAAAGTTATACAAATTAAAGGAAAGCCAAAATTACCCAAAATTCCCAGCAATCGCCGTTGCAAGTTGCATAGAAACAAAAAACAAGTGCTAAAGTGCCAACCCCTAGTGGGTAAGTTTTTTGAGTGCGAGAAGGTGTTAAAACGGTGTTTGAACGCCCTAATGTTTTTAGGTGGCACCTAATTACATAACCTCTGTGCGCTAGAAGCCAAGCTTGGTGGAAGAAGTGGGAAAGGCCAACCGGAATCAATCGCAAACTGGCAACCAATCGACCCATCTACCGATCAGCATCCGAGAACCAGCAGCAGCAGAATCCGAGCTCCCGCAGCAGCAGAACATAGCGCCGAGAATTTTTATTTATTTTTATTATCTACATATTTTTTCTACATTTTTACTTCTACGTTTATATGTTGTAGAGTAGCCCAGTAGCCAACGAAATTTAGGCTAGGGACCATTTACCGGCAATACCGTCCGTAAGCCGTAGGGAAATATAGCCCAAGGAAAAAATGAAGTAATAATCCCCGGAAATATACAAAACCAACTCTAATCGCATTTAGAAACTAAAAGTTACAGATTTTACGCGTCAGATCGAATTTTACGCGTAGAGTCAGATCGAAGCAGAATTTTAGTTTAAGTAGTTTAAGAGTATAGTTTGAATGAAGAGAGAAGGTCAATAACAGGAAAAATATGCATTAGAGCTGAGCAGTCCCGTCTTCCCATGTACATTTCCCTTCCCTCTCCCATATCTTAACGGCAGAGTACCGTACCGCTGTAGGTTACAAGTAAGGCGAGAGTAACTTAATCGATCTCTTAAGTAGTTGAGGTTCTCTTACACAGGCCCCTTCGAGAAGCGCTTCATCGTGGGATACAAAGTGAGTCCATTGTAATGAATCTCAACTACCTTTTTTTAAATAACACAAAAGTCCAAAGAGACAACAAACATTAAAATTTAACCCCTTACTAAATGCCGGAATAAAAAAAAAAAAAACAAATTTAAAAAATCCAAACTCCAAAAAAATGTCCTATCCACAAAGCCCAAACCACAACTCCCTGCTCAATAAAATAAAATTTAAAGTCTCACATATAATGGCATAATTTAACATACATACATTCTACCCATTATACCCGCTCTCTACATTAGTATTGCTTCATGTAAAATCTAGATGTCATATACATGAGCACTGAAATATTCAGCGATCGCTAAATTTAATTTTTAGTCATTAAATTCACATTTTTAATTTCAATCTAGATGTTAATCACTTCTTAGGATCCTAATGAACTTGTCTAGAATTAATTTGTGTCATTTAATAGGATTAGTCTATGTTTAAAAATAAAATTTATAATGTTGTCTAAAGTTGAGTAGAGTCAATAGGGAAGCCATGCGTCGTCGAATGTTATCTGTCGTGTAAAGTGTAGTCGCCTTTTAGGGATCGCCATATATATATCTGGTCGATGGTGATCATGGTAGGGAGGGCAAGTCAGCACAAACAACCGCTGGCATAAAGGCACTTCATCCTTGTTCGTCCTTGTCTGTCCTTTGCTAGTCAATAGTCCGGTCCATTAGTCCTGCGGAGATCCTCGTACCCTATAGCACGCGAAGTAATAAGATTTTGTTGTTCGTCTATAGAGCAAGTAGCAGCGTTCCTAAAACCTATCCCCGACCCCCCTCTACTGGTAACACATGCCGGAACCAGCGCGTGCTCAACGTAGGCTACAAATTACACCAGCTCTCGAAACGTAGTTCGCTACAATTTTCTAAGTTATTGCGTCGCGTTTTGCGGAAGCCTGCCGAGAGAGCGAAACCCAGAGAGCCGATGCCAAGAGAGCAACAGCCAAAAAACTGATGAGGGGGAGGGGTAATGCTGTGGGGAAAGGAGACGGGAAAGGGGCAATTTATCATTTTCATTTTGTAGCAGATGTAAGAGACCTAATTGATTTCCGCCATGAAAGAAAATAGAAAATGACTACAAATTCTTTAAGCAAAGCCAAAATGTTTCCAACTAAATTACACTATGCAACATATAAAATTTACCTCGATGGATGCTACATTTTTAAATTCATTACGAATTCCCAAGTCAAACTGCGTTTTCCAAAAAGATCCCCGATGCAAGGACTCTCAGCACAAGGACCTCAACGTTCGAAAAATGCTGATAAAAAGAAATACATATAAACAACGGACATGGCTGGTTTGACCTGGCCAGTGATCCTAACCAAGAATCAATGTTCTTTATAGGACCGGAAACGCGTCCTTCTACCTGATACATACTTTTTCCCGATTTCAATATACCCTTTTACTCTACGAGTAAGGGGTATAAATATTGTACACTCATCATTATTTTTTTTTGTGTCACTAAAATGTGTTTCATTCAATCCTACGTTCACTTCAGCTCTTACCTTCCAAACTCAGTTGGCTGACATTCATCTTTTTCGCATTGAGACGTAACATCACAAAGAATTCGTGGGGGAACCGCATCAGATTCAGATCTATGTACCAAACCGGGATTAGGGAGCGGGCAAAGTCCTTTAGCAGACCAGCATCCCAGTTGCTAACGACCAGGCTCGAAATTTTCACCGACAACTGGTGGCGCCGCAGCAGATAGTTAACGATGATCCGGAAGTCGCGTATGCAGTGATACTTCCGACCGATCCGCTCTTCGAACAGCAGTCTCTTAAACTGGAACTGCCGGTAGGGTCGCTCGTCGTACTCCCGCTGCCAACAATAAAGGAGCAGGATCGTGAACAGACGGCTTTTCTCAGGCAAAGGACGAGGGCATGCCTTCGGATTGTACTCGCACGGGAGCACCAACTCGCACATCCTGATCAGTTTCGTTTAGAACTATTGTAAATTACAAAATTTAAATTGTTATTGTTAATTTGTGACAACTTAGTCAGGGCAGATCGTGTGTAATAATAATATAAATTATTTCCTAAAAGTTTAAAGTCTAAACCCTGCATTTGCTGCATACTTTTGAGCTGGGGACGAACGAAAATCGATGTAAAATACACTGTTCATTTCGAATGTAGGGGCCATAATCTCATCGAAAAAATAAAAACAATATTTACCTATTTTAATTATTTTTTAGATTAGTAAAATAGCTGGAAATGAAATATATTTACTATTTTCTCTTTAAAGCCCCATAAGTCATAGGCCACTTATTTAATTCACTACTACATTCTATTAGTTTCTTTGTTAACTAATATACATTTTGGAGTTTGTTTTTCTTTAAGCAAATATTACAGAACATTAAAGCATGCTTCCTTGTTTTTCGTTTGCTAACGACTAACCAACATTGCCGCGACGCAAAACGATGGTAAAAAGTTTTATTTCCTTGGCACAATGGGGCCACAAAACCAAAATAGTACATAAAAAATTCGTGATTGTCGTAAATTCTGATAAATGTTATAAATAGATTTTACAGACTTTCAGCCACGTTAAGAAATAACGAAAAGTCTGCGCGAAGTAGTTTTTCGAACGACACCTTAAATAGAGCGGAATGCTTCCTCATTTTCGTCATATTCCTGAGAGCAACAAGCCGCTTTTGGAGCTGCAGCCATCCACAGTCTCATTAGCATAGTTTGCGAACTGAAGCACAAACTTGGTCGGTGCGAATTACCATAAACGCCATTTCATTCATTTATGTATCCTATTCCACAATGGGAACTCATTGTCCGCCACGTGGTCGTGGTCTCCAAGCCATTGGCATCCTGGCGTGCCGGCACGCGTCGTTGCTGTCCTATAAATAAGCTGGAACTCAAAACCGATATAGCTATATATGTATGCCTACTTATATTTGTATTAACATCAGGCAGGAGTTGCACGTAGCCAGTGGAGAATGCAGGAGTATGAGTGGTATTTGAGACATTTATGGTAAGGTTGCATCTTCATTTATTTGATTACCTTGGCAGTGCTTTAGCATCGAAGAACGCATCAGTCACGGACAGTGCTGTCGTCTTGGCTCTTTTGGGGTCTGGAGAATCCTTTGAAAAAAATTATAGTTTCTCAATATTTTGTTCTTAATTCTTAATAAGTTCTTAGTCTAACAAGATAAGTAACAGACATTTTTATACCCTTGCAGAGGGTATTATAATTTCAGTCAGATGTTTGCAACGCAGTGAAGGAGACGTTTCCGACCACATAAAGTATATATATTCTTGATCAGCACCAATAGCCGAGTCTATCTAGCCATGTCCGTCTGTCCGTCTGTCTGTCTGTCCGTCTGTCTGTCTGTCCGTCTGTCCGTTTCTATGCGAACTAGTCTCTCAGTTTTAAAGCTATCGCGATGAAACTTTCCCGAAAGTCTCCTTTCTATTGCAGGTAGTACATATGTCGGAGCGAGCCGGATCGGACCACTATATCTTAAGGCTCTCATTGGAATATTCAAACAAATATAAAACAAAATTTAAATACGCTGAATTTGGAATCCCTGGAACTGCACCGAGTGAGCATTAAATTATAGGTATTTACTTTATCTGCAAGGGTATATAAGCTTCGGCTGGCCGAAGCTAGCTTCCTTTCTTGTTTTCTTTTTGTTTATTTTTTTTCTCTCTTTTTTACTTTGTTTTATTTTTTAAAGGCGCTTGTTCCTTGGGTTATTTATTACACTCGTTACTCGTAGAGTAAAAGGGTATATTGTATTCGGGCAAAAGTATGTAACAGGGAGAAGGAAGCGTTTCCGACCCTATACAGTATATATATTCTTGATCAGGGTCGATATAGCCATGTCCGTCTGCCCGTCCGTCTGTCCGTCCGTATGAACGCTGAGATCTCGGAAACTACAAAAGCTAGAAGGTTGAGATTTTCCACACACATTCTTGGGCTTCCTACGCAGCGCAAGTTAATTTCAGCCGAGCGCCACGAACCCTCTAACGCCCACAATAGCCCACTAACAATTTTAAAATGTGTCTGGCGCCCACACCTTTAAAGATTTCCGAGAAGTATATGTGCAATTTTGTTGTGTATAATTATACCCATCGAAATGTAGAAGACATTTTTCAAATCGGACCATTCAATAAAAACGCAATCAAGAAAATGGTATATATCCATCTCCCTCGCACTCCCTTTAGCCGAGTGACGGGTATTAGATAGTCGGGACACCAACCCGACTATAGCGATATCTCTTGTTTATTTTATTATACCCGTTACTCGTAGAGTAAAAGGGTATATTGTATTCGTGCAAAAGTATGTAACAGCTAGAAGGAAGCTTTTCCGACCCCATAAAGTATATATATTCTTGATCAGGGTCACTAGCCGAGTCGACCTAGCCATGTCCGTCTGTCAGTCTGTATGAACGCTGAGATCTCAGAAACTACAAAAGCTAGAAGGTTCCTACGCAGCGCAAGTTTATTTCAGCCGAGCGCCACGCCCCCTCTAACGCCCACAATCGCCCACTAACGATTTTAAAATGGGTCCTGCGCCCACGTCTTTAAAGCTTTCCGATAAGTATAAATGCAATTTTGTTGTGTATATTTATACCTATCGAAATGTAGAAGACATTTTTCAAATCGGACCATTCATTAAAAAGTTATACGCATTCAAATATCTATCTCCCTCGCACTCCCTTTAGCTGAGTTACGATTATTAGTCGGGACACCAACCCGAGTTCGCACTCCCTTTAGCTGAGTGACGGGTATTAGATAGTCGAGACACCAACCCGACTATAGCGTTCTCTCTTGTTTTTTATTTATTTTAATATTTTTGGATGTTTTCTAATCAGGTCAATCAAATTATAGAACCCAGAGTTGGAGACTTAAACAGTAAAACAAGAAAGGAAGTTAATTTTGCCATGCCGAAGTTTGTATACCCTTGCATTTCAAATACATACTCACTGTTTAATTAGCCTTCTTTGACAGCCTCAAACGCTGTATCTCGATGGGTTCGTTTCTGGTAAATCAGATGTATTTAAACTAAATTATATAATACAATTTAAAAATCAAATCTAAAATGGCTCATTGCTCAAAAATCAAATTGCCTACTTCAAAACGAAAAACGTATAACGTTCGAATATTCTTATGAGGTCATTAGATATAGTGGTCCGTATTATTGGAAAGTTTCATCGCGATAGCTTTAAAACTGAGAGACTAGCTTGCATAGAAACGGACAGGCGGACATGGCTAGATGGAATCGGCTATTGGTGCTGATCAAAAATATATACACTTTATGTGGTCGGAAACGTCTCCTTCAGTGCGTTGCAAAAATCTGACTGAAATTATAATACTTTCTGAAAGGGTATAATGAGCCTTAAAACCCTCCTTGCCATCTCTGTTCGAATAGATCCCAATGGCTTTGTCTGTGTCTGAATGGGCAGCTCCTTTAAGACTGACGACAGGTGCCTAATCAATAGACCAAATGACGACTGACAGCACTTGGCTTGGAGTTATTTTTCACTTTTACTACCTGACCATGGCCACAAGATTGGCGATTCCACTTTGGGCCCGAGTTGGGGCATGGCCATGGAGCTGCTCGAATCTGCATTAATTTACGGCCTGCGATGGTCAGACGGCCAGAAAGCAGACAGCAGACAGCCGGGAGCCCAAGAGTCCAAGAAGAGCCTCCAAGACCTGCTCCTCGCTTAGTCATCAAGATGGCTGCTACTGCTGACCAGAGGCAATTAACAGTGGCGACAATTCGGGCTGCCTTCGTTGCCTCAAATTGAAATTCGAAAAGTGGCTGAAGAGTAGTCCAGCCGCTCAGATGCTTATCTGTGCTTAGAAAAAACGCGATAATTAAAAATATTGTAAAATGCCAGACGGCCAGACGCTCATAATTGCTGGCAGAGGCGGAGGCAGAGGCACTGGCAAAGGCCCATGCCCAGGCAAAATCGCAGACGACTGGGAATCAGTCGAAGTCTCAGTTTACAGCTACCAGACAACGCGACGCGACGGAGGAGCACTGCATGTGCATATCATTTAAATAACTTTCCGCGGCGCAGCACAAGTGTGAAACAGCAGCCACTATCCCATCCGACGGTCGGTTCACCTGCATTGCCGTCACTGTTGATGTTGCTGCTGCTGCTGCTGCTGCAGAACCGACCATCACATCGGCCCATGGTCCATATTTGGATGCAACAACGCAACGCATCTGCATCACTTAAGGACCAACATCGACATCGCCAGCAGCTCCGAGTGTCTGCCACGGCCTCCAGACAAACTGCAGACGCGAGACATGCACTTGTCTCCGGCTGACTGGGCTGGGTCAGCCTCCAACTCCATTATGGGAGCCCCTCCATCCACCGTCCTCCGTCCACCGGCGAACGCATTCATTGTCAATTTTGACAATCAACAAGACGCGGCTGCACATACCCCTGCTTAAATGTCCCTGCATCAACAGCAGCAGCACACAGGCGAAAAATAAATAGGTCTTGGTCGAAAAATTTATTAAATTCATTTATTTCTCATTACTTTTCCGATCGTTCCTATGGCAGCTGTATGATATAGTCGTCTGATTTTAAAACAAATTAATTCGAAATTTAGAATTAGATAAAAAATGGTATTTCCAAACGTTGTAGGTTATATGTTAAAAATCATTCAAAATATAATTTTTTTGCATTTTTTTATATAATATGATATAGTTGTCCGAACCGGCTCGTTCCGACATATATACTACCTGCAATAGAAAGAAGCCTTTTGGGAAAGTTTTAGCCCGATAGCTTTAAAACTGAGAGACAAGTTTGCGTAGAAACAGACGCACAGACGGACGGACAGATGCTGATCAAGAATATATATACTTTATGGGGTCATTACCCTGACCCTCCGCACGGGGATAATGATAAAATATGATATGATAAATGTGACAAATATGATAAAATAAATGTGTCATTGAAACCTATAAAAACTGTGCAAATTAAGAGGTTAAATTGCAAAGGATAATTAATTTAT